TCAAACACTGAAGAGGCTGTCCTTACATCTGAACAGAGCAGCCTGCGTAGAACTCGAATGACTCTGAAGACAAATCAACCAAGGGCCAAGAGGTGGCAGGCCTTGGTCAATAGTGTCACAAAAAGTTCTCAAATGACTCAGAATCATCCCAGCTCTGCAGGCAGCCAGAGCACCTTCCTACAACTGGTAAGGTTGGAGTTTTCTTAGTTTTTTTTTTTTTTTAATTGTTTTTAATATTTAGTTTTTAGTTTTCGGCGGACACAACATCTTTGTTTGTATGTGGTGCTGAGGATCAAACCTGGGCCGCACGCATGCACAGGCGAGCATGCTACCGCTTGAGCCACATCCCCAGCCCATTCTTAGTTTTCCAAACAATTCCTTACTATAAGTTAATTAATTTTAGTCACTTGGGTTATTGGGTTGTTCAGGGAAAGTTACATAATGCAGTACAGGAGCTTAAATTTTTTTTCCTTTCCTTTTTTTTTTTTTTTTTTTTTTTTGGGGGGGGGGGGGGGGGGGGCAGTGGTAGAGACCAGGGATTGAACCCAAAGGTACTTAACCACTGAGCCATATCCCCAGTCCTTTTTATTTTGAGACAGGGTCTTCTTAAGTTGCTCAGAGTCTCTTTAAGTTGCTGAGGCTGGCTTTGAATTTGCAATCCTTCTGTCTCAGCCTCCCAAGTTGCTGAGAGTACAGGAATGCACCAGCACCCAGTGGTACTTGGACTTTACGAGCATGGCAAACTAGATTTATCAGCAGTGGTGAAATTCGTCATATAATCTGGGTCCCCGACCTTGATTTCTCTCTCTCTAAAGTTGGGTACAACAAACTACTTAGCAAAGTTGTCCATTATCTGTAAAGCACTGGCCAGGTGCCTGCAACGGGCTGGTTACTCAGTGAGTAGCGAGTACTGCCAGTGAGCTTGTTAACAGTAAGTACTGCCAGGAGTCTCAGTTAACCCGGTCTGAGCAGAGGCTTTGCCTTTTGTCTTATTTTCGCAGTAACAAAATTTATTTTCCTAGGGTTAAAACCACTGGAGCAGCCCCAACCAAAAAATGCTGCAGATCTGTGCAGCAGAATTTTATCCTTCTCTGCTTATCTGCTCAATACCTGTTTCCCCCTCGACTTCAAGCTCCATTGGTGTAGGACCAGTTTGCTCTGCTGAACACTCAAGGGCAGAAGGCAGTGACACAGTGCCTCCAGATGGCCTGCTATGTGCCCAGCAGGCGAAGGAAAGAGCAGGTGTGCTCACCTCTCACACAGTCTGACCTTAGATGAGCCTTGGCACCTTTCATGACCTGAGGTGCCTCCTCTCGAACAGAGATGACTGCCCCGGGACACGGGATTTAAACGGTTAAATAGCCACCTGCACAGCCTCGTGAAGTGACTGTGATGGGCCCTCAACCTACATGAGCTGCCTTTCCTCCTTTGGCACCCATCAAGGAGGCAGACATGCCTACTCAGCCTCAGCACGTGCCCAACAGGGGGTCACCCTAGGCACGCGTCACTGTAGCACTTGAAACTGGCATGTCTAGAAGAGATTATTATTATCGTTCCCATTTCACAGGTTTAGAAACAGGCCAAGAGAGGTTACATAACAATTCCAGGTCTCACAGTGACAAAAGAGTGGTTTAAACCTAAATCTAGGAGGTTGAAACCTGAGTTCCTTCTCTCTCATCTCTACCTCCCCATCTGCCTGCAGAATCCTCATGTCTAATGCAATTTGTGCACAGTTGCCACCATTTGTCAGTGTTAGATAATTATCATAAACCACTTGCCTTAACAACTAAAGAAAAAGCAGACCAATCCAAGACCCTGCACACAAAACAGAGGTGTCCTGCCCTGACTTCTGTAAAGAGACCATTTCAACCCACTCAATCCAAAAGCAGCATATACCAGTTCAGGGCCTCCGAGGATAGGAGGAACCTGCAATAACCAGGTCTCGGCTCCTTCCAAAATTTCCACATTTGACAATCATTCCCCAGGAATAGACACAACTCATCCATGCTACAATGAACACACTGGATCAAGAACCAAAGGCTTGTTCTGTTTCAGAAAAACCACCAGCCCTTCCCTTCACTGTGATCACAAAACCACCAGAACTCCTCGTCTTGCTGCCTGCTCGCCTGGCAAACAAACACAGAGATGAGTCACCCAGAGCACAGAGGCTCACTGGGGAGGATGCAGACGGCCGAGCGCCCACACTGGCACCGCGCCACAGCAGGGAGCGGCGGCGGCCCTTCCAGTGAGGCTCTGCTGACCTCTAGTGCTCTGCAGGAGAACCGAGCAACGCTGAAGGCAGCGCCATGAGAATGGCAGCCAATGCCCACACATGTTAAGTGAAAACGTGGTATTTTGTAAAATATGTGTATTTATCTGCCCACCTGTAAAAACAGTTTCACAGCAAACCCAAAGTTTCCAGATTAATTTGCAAAGGTACCTGTAGCAGCTATGGGCACAGGCGTGCACGCCTTCAGAGGCGAACCTGTGCTGGAGCGGCTGAGTCCCGGGGCCCAGAGCCCCCTGCCCTGTGGAATGGCTGCCACTCCACAGCTCCAGCCCCTGGGTTCTGTTTCAAAACACCAGGTGGCTCTGAAGCCTGTTAACACTTGAACACCACAGTCCCTCCCCAGGGTGGGCAACAAACAGCACAGAACCCTGAGTCGCTAACCTGTTCCTCCTGCTCCCATGTGAGCTGGCTGCATATCACATCACAGATGGGGAGCTGAGGGTTAGGACGCTGAGTGACTCTGCTTGAGGTCACACAGCCCCGAGGAGGCAAAGGCAGGGTCTGAGCCCTGGCCTGAGTGCCTGCTCCTGAGCCAGCACATTCCCCAGCACCTTCTCTGGCCTTGCTGATGAGACCCAGCAAGCCTCACCCTTACACATGCTCCCCACCAGGAGCTCACCCACCCTCGCGGCCCCTCCCAGCCTCACTACCCCCTACACAGTCGTTCCAGCCTCCAGCTGTGCACTGGAATCCCCCGTGGCCAGCCCCCTTCCCTCGCCTGAGTGCACATCTGCAGGGGAGCCCAGCCTCATACCCCAGGTCTGTGTCGGCACCCCCCTCACCAGGACTGTGGGTGCCGTGCACGGGCGATCAAGACCACCAGGTCTCAGGGCAAGGACGACACCCTCATCATACCTGAATCTATGGCCTGGCACAGCGCTGAACCCTGCACGACCCACCCAAGAATGGAGCTAAATGCTCACAAAATCCACACCGTGGCTCTTCACCCCAGCACCACTGAGGGCTGCCAGCCTCACCCTGGGCAGCCTCCACTTGCTGCCCCTGCCCACCTTTACTGAAAACTTGAAGGCAAGCCAAGACCACAGCCTCTCCAGCCTTTCCTAACAATACCAAGCTGCACAGACCCCGACCTCCTCCCTGGCCCCGGTCCACCTGGTGCTCACTTCCTTATGCAAAAGGCTGTCTGTCTGTCCTCAGGTCACTGGTTCTCTCTGTTCTGGTCTCTTCCTCTGGTGTGGGGCTGACAGTTGCCCCTCCACACCCCACTCTGTAGCCTCACTCTCAGTGTCTCATCTAGGAAATGAGCTGCAACGAGGGGCCTGAGGGGCAACAGATGTGCTTTACAGAGAGGGATCTAAGGCGCAGAGAGGCTGAATGTCATGCCCCGGGGAGCAAAGGCACAGTCAAGCCCAGCAGTCTGTGTCTGGAGTCCATATGCTTGACCATTATGTTAAAACATCTCCTTGTTCACAGACTGGCTGTATACACACAGAGGATCAAGTCATGGACACTCATCAACTCTAAGATGCTGGTTAACCCTGTTATTTCATTTCTACTTAAGCTTTTACTTTCCATTGAAACACTTAATGATCTCTGCATTCAGCATGGCAAAGTACCAATATGTTGAATTAGATGAGCGTCTTGTTATGAGTCATATTTTTTTATGTGTTCAAGTAAAAAATGACTTTAAAGTCTCTTTCCCCTCCCCTCCTCCTCGCCCCCTCTCACCTAGGCCCCAGACCTACTCACCTCAGTCTTTCTTATGCCCAAAGCTGCACCTCATGGGCCCTCACACCTCGTGCAGTTTGTCCTTCTCAAAGCCCAGCCTGACCAGCGTGTGCAGAAACCAGGGGTTACCCTGACCCTCTCAGGGTCATCACTGACCCTTACCATGTGCTACACTCTGGAGTCTCAGTTCCCCTTGGCTTTCCTTGTAAGAGCCAACTCAGACCAGCTGACTACCTAAGATCCTCCTCAGACTATCAGTCTGGGGACTGGCATTATCAGTCTATGACCACATGCTTTAATGACTTGGTTTTGTTAAA